CTAGGTCATTAATTTTGAATTGACTCATCCAGAAATTGTTTTAAGGCTTGTATTGCAGACAGATCATCACCAGTTAAAAGAATGTCATCCACATATACGGCCACAATGGTAAGTGAAGACCCACACTCTTTAACAAACAAGGAATAATCATTTTTGCTAGAAACATAACCTCTAGATTGCAAGGCGGTGGACAGCTTGGCATACCACTGCCGGGAAGCTTGTCTAAGTCCATAAAGAGACTTGTTAAGCTTAGAAACTAGAGTGGAAGAAGAAGCAGAAACTTGCAACCCAAGAGGAATTTTCATATATACCTCCTCCTCTAAATCACCATGCAAAAATGCATTATTGACATCCAGTTGGAAAATAGGCCAGTGTCTCTTAACAGCAACACTCAACAAACACTTAATGGTGGTTAGTTTCACAACTGGGGAAAAAGTTTCTGTGAAATCTATACCTTCCTGTTGGGTGTCCCCCCTTATGACCAACCTAGCTTTATATCTCTCGATACTACCACCGGCTCTCTGTTTGATCTTATAAACCCACTTAGAAGATATAGCTTTCTTACCCGGAGGCAAAGGGACAATCGTCCAGGTATTATTAGCCTCCAATGCTTGAAACTCTTTCATCATAGCATCCTGTCAGGCAGGGTTAGAAACTGCCTGATGATTGAATTGTGGTTCAGGCAAGCAACCTTCAGGAACAAAGGTAGTATCCTTAGAAATTGAAACATTGGTACAAACATAATCTTTGAGAAAAAATGGGGGATTGGTAGGTCTAGATGACCTCCTCAAAGGTACAGAAACAACAAGAACAAAGGAAGAAGAGGTAGAAGCAGAAACTGGAGCAGAGGTAGCTTGAGGAGAGGGAGCTTGAGGAGAGGAAACAGAGAAATCAGCATATATATGCGTAGTAGAAGGGAAAATGCAAGTAGGAGAGGGAGAAGAATAGGGAAAAATAGACTCATGAAATTGAACATCTCTAGAAAAGAAAACATTGTGTTTGGTCAGATTCAACAACTTAAAGGCCTTTTTAGTCATGTTATATCCAAGAAACACACAAGAAATAGTCCTTGAATGAAATTTATCCCTATGTGGCTTAGGCACAGCAGCAAAGCATAGACAACCAAAAACTCTAAGGTGTGAGTATATAGGAGGAATACCAAAAAGTAGCTCAAAGGGTGTTTTATGATTTAAAAGAGGTGAAGGAAACCTATTGATCAAATAAGTGGCAGTAAGTACACATTCCCCCCAATATTTTAGTGGAAGTTTAGACTGAAAAAGTAAGGATCTAGCTGTTTCTAACAAATGTTTGTGTTTTCTTTTCATAACTCCATTCTGTTGAGGAGTATGTGGACATGAAGTTTGGTGAATGATTCCCTGATTACAGAAGAATGAGGTGGCTTCAGCACTGGATCCTAACTCAAAAGCATTATCAGACCTGAGAGTCTTGACAGAAGAATGGAACTGATTTTGGACTAGAAATATGAAGGATTTTAACAAAGTAAAAGCATTAGACTTGGTAGACAACAGATGAGTCCAAGTAGCCCTAGTAAAGACATCTACAATGGTCAAAAAATACCTAAAACCATTGTATGTTTGTGTGTGGTAAGGACCCAATAAATCCACATGAATAAGTTGAAAAGGCTTGGTAGTCTTAATGGAACTTTCAGGGAAGGGAAGTCTTTGCTGCCTAGCCATTGGACAAACTTCACAAACAAAAGACTGTTTCTTAGATAGTTTATCCTTAATATGAGTAACAGACTTCATCTTATGGAAAGTCATGTGACCAAGTCGAAGATGCCAAAACATATCAAAACTAAAAACAGGAACAGAATCATTTGTAGAAGGCACAGAAGTAGAAACAGTTTTATTAGCATCAATGGTATCTACAGTGTTGTCAGGTACATAATCATTTGTAGAAAGCACAGAAGTAGAAGCAGTTGTATTAGCATCAATGGTATTTACAATGTTGACAGGAGCAAAACAAGATGAAGAAGCAATAGAGTCAGCAGTCTTAGCACTGACAGCTTTACCAATTGAAGTAGCAGAAATTGAGGTAGGAGTGGATTGTAGCAGATAAAGTCCATTTGAAATTTTACCAAGAACCAGTGGCCTCTTCAGAGAAAGGCCCTGTAAGATACAATCGTAGGGAGAAAACAAAGCATTACAACGAAGTTGTAACAAGAGCTGATGTAGGGAAACTAAATTGTAGTGGAAAGAAGGTACAAGTAAAACATTTTCCAAAATCAAGTCATTAGATAAAGGAAGTGTGCCAGAACAAGTTACCTTCACTCTATAACCATTGGGAAGGATGACAAGGTAAGGGATTGCTAGTGGTTTAATATTTATTAAGAGAGATTTTTTTAGGAGTCATATGATTTGTAGCACCGGAATCTATTATCCAAGGATTACCAACTAAGCGAGAAATATTGCAAGCAAACACACAACAATTTCTAGTATCAACACAATGTACCAAACCTGCAAAGTTGGCAGATCCAGAGGCAGTAGCATCATGAGAGACCTTGGACTGATGAAACATGTTCAGCAAGTGTTCATACTGTTCCTTTGTGAAACCATGGTTCTGAGAATCATAATGTTCAATCCTATTATCAGAAGTACACCCATCTGTTGGCCCCAGACTCTGAGCCTCTGAAACATGAGCATAACCAGCGGGCTTCTTAAACCTATTGGACTGGACGGAGTTCTGAAAAGTGTTGGGATACCCATGAAGTTTGTAACATTTTTCTATGGTGTGGCCAGGCTTTTTGCAGTACTTGCATATGACACTTGCCCTTTTAGAATCGAAATTAACCTTTTGTGAATAGGTTTTCTGCATGCCAACAGGGGAAGAACCAGTATATGGTTTCTGAACACCAGTGGAGAAAGAAGCAGACTCGGAAGAGAAAGATGGGACTAAAGCTTGTGCCTCACATTGACTTTCATCATTAACCAGCATAGCATACGCAGTGTCTATGTCTAGAAGAGGTTTCATGGCCAGAATGTTCCTCCTGATGGTGGAATAATTGTCGTTCAAACCCATAAGGAACTGGTGAAGCTTCTGATCTTCTTCCAATTTTTGGAAAGCCTCTTTACATCCACACACACAATCAGGATATGTTATGGAATATGCTAGCTCATCACACAACTTCTTAATTCTGGAAAAATAGGAAGCAATGTTCGAAGCTCCTTGAGAAATAGATGATAGAGCCTTACGGATCTGATACACTTTGCTGCCATTGGGCTGTCCATATCGTTTCTCAATGTCCTTCCATAGCTTTGCAGCTGACTCTGTATACATAACACTTTCCCTAATTTCAGCTTCCAAACTGTTCAGTATCCAAGCAATTACCATGTCGTTACATCGACACCAAGGCTCATAGAATGGAGATGTAGCATTAGGTTTGGAAATAGTCCCATTGATTATGCCGAGCTTATTCTTACACGACAAACCGATCAGCATTCCCCTTCTCCAACTTCCATATCCCATACCGTTGAATCGATCGGCAACAATGACAGTACCAGGGTTGTCAGTAGGATAGAGGTACAGTGGGTTTGAGGGCTCAACAGTAATCGAATTATTAGGTAAGGTAGAAGTAGAAGTATCAGATGAGGTTTCTGATGGAGCCATAGCAGATTTAAGAAACTAGGGTTTCATATTCAAATTGAACAACAAAAATTGATAGCAAAATTGAAAAAAATACCAGCCATCTCCACCAAATCAGCAGCTTTCTCCAGCAAATCGAAGGAGCAAAACCTTTAAATTTGTAGAACTAAGAGTTTATAGGTAACAACCACAAATGTTACCAAACTCTACACTGGGAAACCAAAAAAAACTTTAAAATTGTCCGTCAAGGGTAACATCGGACGACGGCCGATGCTCCGATTCACCCAAATCCGGGCTCTGATACCATGTTACGTGCAAGGATCGAAGTAATTTGAGGAAACAAAGGGATGAACCCTATTCACGAAGAGAGAGAGAGAAAGATGAAGTCTTCTTTCTGATATTTTCTGATATGTTCATTAGAGAGAAAAAATATAAATCTTCTAGAACTATATACTTTGTATATCACTAATAAAGAATGGCTATCTCTATCAAAGAAAGTGGCTACACATGTAAGTTAACTTATATGTACAACTGAGTAGTTCAAGTTGGGCCTTCAGCTTTGTGTTGGGCCGCTGAACCATTTGTAACTTCAACACTTTCCTTCACGAAACGTCTTGTGTTATGTAGACGTTTCCACCATGAAAATGTTGCACCCTTTATTCTGTAGGCTACTAGTTTGACCCTATGCTCCTCAGGAATCTCCATATAGTCGAAGAATTTATCTATTCAACTACCAATGTGGACTTTGTTGGCACAGTACCCAACAATCTCTCACTCAAAATAAGTTCTTCGTGGCTCTCTATCACGATTCACGGTTCTTCCCCTTGAACTAAGTTCCATGTGTCCCATTGCCACAATCAACAAGTCAATATTTTAAATTCACTGTGTGCCACTCACATTGTTAGAATATTTATGGCGGCCGAAGCCACAACTAGCTTCTTATTGTATGAGAGTATCCAAATCGAGTCTCGCACCATTACTTTATCATTATCATACCCGTCCCGTTGAACCCGGGCTCAGATACCAGAAATAATGTAGGACGAATAAACAAGAAAACAATTAGATGAATAGAAGACTATTTCACGAATAGCCTTATCAAAGAAATCTTGCTCACGACAAAGCCAACCGAAAGAAACAAGTGTCTAGTAATCGTAAGGAGAAAATTGTTATTCTCTTCAAGATAATTTACAATGAGTTCTAAAGT